AGAGCTTCATTCATCCTGGGAAGAAATCTGGGAGTGGATCTGACCCAGCCCCAGATGCTGTGCAGTGGAAGAGGAAGTTCCATCCTCCCAAGTCCAGCCAAGCCTAGCAACTGAGCCCAGTTGCAGGATAGAAGCCACCAGATGAGTCCTCTACAGTCTTGGCCCATGCCGCAGAGTAATTTACCACTCTGCCAGCTGCCTCGGGTCCCCAAAACATACTCTGGGGAAGGTCACATGGCTGCTTCTGATGGGGAAGCAAAGGGAAGTCCCAAAGTCAGTTTTTTGTAAGGAAGCAAAAAAATCTGAGGGGACAAAGTCTGTACACAAGTAGAAATGTTACCGAGAGTGTGAGTTCCAAAGTATTCTATATCTACCACTTCCCCCTTAGCTTTCTTTGACAGGATAACAAGCCTTGTAGATATCAGGTTGGTTTAACACGATTCATGCTCAACAAATTCATGCTGACTCTTAATTATCTTCTAAATGTTTGCGAACTGATTCCTTAATTATTTACTCCATTATATTTCCTGGTACAGAAGTTATCTGATTGGTCTGTAATTCCCTGGGTTGTCCTTATTTCCCCTTTTTCTAAATGGATACTTCATTTGCCCTTTTCCAGTCTTCTGGAATCTCTCCTGTCTTCCATGACTTTTCAAAGATAATAGCTAACAGCTGAGATCTCCTCAGTGAGCTCCTTGAGTATTCTAGGATGCATTTCATCAGGCCCAAGTGACTTGAAGACAGCTAGCTTAAGTAATTTTTAACTTGTTCTTTTCCTTTTTTAGCTTCTGTACTGACCCCATTTTCACCAACATTCACTATGTTAGATGACTAATTGCCACCCACCCTTCTTAGTAAAAACTGAAAGGAAGTCAATAAGCATCTTTGCCATTTCCACATTTTCTGCTATTGTTCATCCTCCTTCATTAAGTAATGACCTTACACTGTCTTGGTCTTCCTCTTAATTCTAATGTATTTGTAGAACGTTTTCTTGCCTTTATCTCTAGCTAGTTTAACCTCATTTTGTGTCTTGGCCTTTCTAATTTTGCCTTGCATACTTGTGTTATTTGTTTATACTCATCTTTTCTAATTTGACCGAGTTTCCACTTTTTGTAGGACTCCTTTTTTGATTTTTAGATAATTCAATATATCTTGGGTAAGTCAGGGTGATCACTTGCCATGCTTGCTATCTTTCCTACCCATGCAGATCTCACTCTCTCTGTACCTCCATGAAAACCTGATTGTAACTGTGACTGGGCAGAGTCCCCCTGGAGGCTGCGTACTTGGTGGCACTCGGGCAAAAGCCAGGCACTCCGGGATCGGCGGGCTGAG